TATATATATATATATATATATATATATATATATATATATAGATATTAAAAATGGGTAACTAAAGAGTCCCAATGCACTATTGAGTTGTTTGTCTTTTGAATATTATAAACTGAAAAATAAAAAAATAAGTTTAAAAAAATGAGAAAATTACAACTTTGAATTTTGAACGAGTCAATGATTTCTCCTTTTGTGGTGTGGGTTATAACTATTTACACCAAAACATATTAGGATACGAATTAATTTTTGTAACTGATACATGTGAGGATGTTAAATAGGCGAAGGGGATTATGAAAAGCAGTAACTAAAAATTAATGTAGAAACTGAAAAAGAGAATTAAATGCGATACAATGAAATTATTGGAAATATGGCAAAAATCTGAGAAATTAGATAAGGAAGGGAAACATAAAGGAAAAAATCAAAAAAAGGAGAAAAAAGATATATGTGCTTCTTGGCCAAGGAGAGGTGCCAAGTCAGCACTTTTTTCTCTCGGCCAAGGAGATATATATATATATATATATAGATTGTAACCTGTTAATTTTGATTTTTGACAACTTCCGAAATGTATTAAAAACAAATAATTTACCTGTTCTTGCGGCAGCTATATTTGATTACTGATGATAGGCTATAATTGCATATTTTAGTCGCTTATTACACTCGAATTTACTGCACTTTAATTGAGTTTGCGCTTTAATCGCTAGTGTTTTGCACTAATTGTGTGTTTATGCCTTGTAGGTGTGATTCCGAGCTATATAGATGTTGTGGAATGAATTTAAGTGATTTGAAGCTTTGAAGTCTGAGTAAAAGCTCAAGGAATTAAGCCGGGATCGTGTTCGGGGGTCGAATTTGATAATTAAGTACGAACGAAGACTTGAGGAGGCATATTATGCACTGTCTAGTAAAATAGACATAACTTTTTGCTCAGAATTCCATTTGGGCTCCACAATATATGTTTGGAAAGCTAACTCAAAAGGCTACAACTTTCATGTTTTACGCTTTTCCAAATTCCAAATGGAACAGGGTGAAAAACCGCGATTTTGCCGCGACCGCGGCAGAACCGCGGTAGAAGATGATTGCGGACAACTGAAAAATCAGAGGGCATGTTTGGCCGCGGTTCCACCGCGACCGCGGCAAAACCGCAGCAGGAAGCGAAAATTTCAAGGACTAAAGTGCAAAACATGGGATTTTAAGTCCTAAACCCTATATTAAACAAAGGAGGCCG